AACATCTGTGCCCATCTTCTTCTATTTTATATGCAGGATGCCGCCACAGTACGGCTTGATGAGTGGTGTGTAGGTCCATGCCCAGGATCTGAACCTGTGAGCCCTGGGCCGCCGAAGAGGAGCGTGAACTTCACCACTATGCCACAGGGCCGGCCTCTATATTTTGAATTATATTTAATTTTCTAAAATGGACATCATTTATGATCAAGGATGTGCTAAGTGTTTCACAAAGTATCACAACTGGAGAAAACTGAGCCAACTAAATTTGCATGCAAAGCATCTCATCTCCCTGCTCCTAAAAATTCATTCTGCCTTAACAGTTCTCCACCTCCTGGGGCTCAGAGAACCAAAACCTAGAAACCTAAACCTACCACAGGCACACACCCAGTTCCCTCAGTCACACGGAAACTGAATGAAAACTTTTGTTTAAGGAGGAAACGATGGAGATGCGGAAGATGCTATATTCATTTACATGTGCTTGGTTTACCTTGAATATTAAGCATGATTTTGAGGTAAACCAGAATATGTCACCCCAAAATATGCCTCAAAATTGACATCAAAATTATTTTGAGCTAAAGGCACTTCTGTATAAACAGATCTTGTTCAAATAATTCTTACCTTCCTTTAGCCTCCCCGTGTAACTTAGTTACTTTTTCACAATTACCTCTAGTTCAACCCAGTATGAAAGCATTTTGGATAAAGAAGATGTGGTATATATACACGATGGAATACTACTCAGCCATAAGAAATGATGAAATCCAGCCATTTGTGACAACATGGATGGACATCGAGGGTATTATGCAAAGTGAAATAAGTCAGAGGGAGAAGGTCAAATACCGTATGATTTCCTTCATTAGGTAGTAGATAATAACAACAATAAACAAACACATAGAGACAGAGATTGGATTGGTGGTTACCAGAGGGGAAGGGGGAGGGAGGAGGGCGAAAGGGATAATTCGGCACATGTGTGTGGTGATGGGTTGTAATTAGTATTTGGGTGGTGAACATGATGTAATCTATGCAGAAATAGAAGTATAATGATGTACACCTGAAATTTATACAATGTTATAAACCAATGTTACTGCAACAAACAAAAAATTAAAAAAAAAAAAAAAGCATTTAGGTTTGGCCGCTTCTTTGGGTCTTCACTTCCTTATGAGGGCTACCGTGTCACGTATAACATTAAATAAATTTGTAGGCTTTTCTCCTGGTTATCTGTCTTATGTCAATTTAATTCGCAGGCCCAGGGAAAGACTCTAAGAGGGTGGAGGTAAACTTTGGCCTGTCCTACAATTTCTTTAGGTAGGTGTGTGTGAGAGAGAGCTGTGGAGACGTGCAGAGGCCCGAGACAGCGTGTCCTGTCAGCGTTTATTTTCATTTGACTTTTATTTCACTGTGATTCAGAGTTTCACAAAGTTTTTAAAGGAATTAATTTGTATTTTTGTTTGCATATACTTTCTTAAAAGTCAAGTAGTGTTAGAAGGGGAAAGGGTCTGGGGAGGGATCCTTTCACATTAGTGTTCAGACTTTGACTCGCTCTCCTGTATTGGCTTTGCCCCTCAACCCCTTCACCTATCATTCCCCTCTGGTTTTTCCAGAGAAGATATAACCTCCTTCTTCTCTGAGCGTGGGGTGGATGGGAACCACAGATCTAATTGCTCCATATGTAAACCCAACCATTCTCCCTTTGTTCACCCTCTGCCCTCTAGCCTTCTGTGGCACCGTAGGCCTGCAAGTCTGAGCTTCTACAGGATTCTGTCTTTTACTTTGCCAAATCCCTTACCATTCCTCCACCTGCTGTCCCTGTTGATATTTTGGGATTCTGCACCATGTATGTTCTCTGCCTCAGCGGCCGTGAGAATGCACTTCTCAGATCTCCCACTGCCGAGAATGACATTGACTCAGAGCTTGGTGGCCACCGCTGAGCACTGTTTAACAAGTGTTGCTCTGCTAGGGTCCATGGTCTCCTCTGCCTCCTGGGTAGGCATCCTCTCTTGCTGCTCGTCAAGATCTAGGAGTTTATTCTTGGTAGCTACCTTGAGCCCACATAATTCCACACCTGCGCCGTAATCAGTGGCAAAGGAGGAAGGTTGGCTCTCTCCCCTCTGCATTCAATGCAGGCAAATGGGTCTCATAGCAGTGTTGCTTGGACCCAGTGGGTTTGAGTTTAGAAGAACAGATCTTTCTCATCCTTATTACTCCCGGTTCTCCCTCTGTTGGACCCAGACATGTGCACAGAGAGCTCAGCGGAGGCCAAGTCCAAATGGCAGTCACTTTGATATTCTAGGAATTTATCATTTCTACCTTGGCAATTAGAGCAACTTCCTCTACAGTCTTCCCAGCTTCCAACTCTTCCTTCTTCTTTCTTCAACCTAATCTTCATGTCACCCCTGATATTCCTAAAACATTTCACTGCCCTGGCTCAAAAACCTTCCACATCTCAGTCTCCTGTTTTTCACATGGATTAAAATCCAAACTCATTGGACCTCATTTAGGATCCTTTACCATCTGGCTTCACCCTATTTTCCATATGAATCTCCCACTCTTCCTCTACGCCAGCTCTACTCCTATAGTATTGACTACTCACAGCCTCTCACTGTGCCTTACTCATTTTGTGGTCTTGCCTAGCTCAGACTCTTCCTCTTTTCCTACCTCGGGTGTTGTCTCTTATCTCCCTAGGTCAAGCTTAGGCTGTCTTCCTCTTCGAAGTATTCCCAGTCTATTCCAATCTAGAGGCACAGCCCTCTGTGGAATTTTACAGTATTTGTGGTTGTAGCTTTCATTGGACAATCATATAGAGACTTGCACTATTTCCCGTATAGCAATACCTCAAAAAACAAATCCCCTGGTAACACAGCTCCATTTCTCCCGCACAGACACCGCTGGAGGGAAGCTGCAGGATTCCTTGGCGCTGATTAGTGGTAGTGATAGGTGAGGAGGAAGAGGCAGTGGTGCTGTCTTGGATCTTGGGAGTGAGGCCAGAACTGGGGTCCCGCAGCTCTGCAGAGCCAGCACTTCCTAGGGCTTGGGCAGCCCCAACACTGAGCCTGGGGAGCTGCTGTGTGGGTCCTGCTTGAGCCCAGCCCCCGATCTCCGATGGGGTTCCACATCAAGAGAACTTTCTGTTCTTCAGACTCATTTGGAATTTAGGGTCTTTGCACTTGTGGCTTACTCTGCTCAGAACCCCCAGCACTAAACTTTTGGCCTAGCTATCCCTTTTCATTCACGTCCCTGCCCAAATATTCCCATTTCATCCCTCTCACATCTAAATTAACCTCACCGCAAGACTCTCTATGGCATCATCCTGGTTTTTGTTTATTTTTTTTACAGCACTTATCTGAAATTACCATATCTATTTAATTTTTACTTGTTTGTTGTCTTTTCCATGAGTTTACAGTGACCCTGTCAGTCTTGTTCATTTCTGAATTCCCAGCATTTAGAGCAATGCTGGTATACAGTAGGTGCTCAATACAGGTTTATTGAATGAGTGCATAAACTAGGAAAGGACCTTGGGCAGTTTCTTGCACTTGAGTAAAGAGTTTCAGCTCTTTCTATCTTGGAGGAGGAGAGGAGGTTGTGAGTCAAACGACTCCAGTCAGTGCTCTGAACCCTGTCCTTACTCAGTCAGCACCCACGGAGGACCAGGTCCATGGCTCCCAGGGCACAGGCAGCCTGGTGATTGTCTGATTACCCCAGTACATGAGCTCAGTCCAACCAGACACCCCCCACAACACCCCAGGGCACCATTGGCCCCAAAGGAACTTTGGTCAGTTGGCCATAGTGTCGGTGGGGGAGCCTCGCTAACTGTCATTGGGTGTGCCAGCTCCAGGCCACCAAGCTACCGAGCTGGAAGTGGTTACTGAGTACACTTCAGCTTTTCACAATTTAATTTAAATATTTTCCTTTTTTACTTTTTCAACTTTCTTACTGAAGTGTATCTTATATACTACTGTAAAGTGCACAAATATCAAATGAAATTTAACATCTGTGTACACCTGTGTAACCACCACCCAAACCAAGATATTTTCAGCATTCTGGCAAGTTCCTTCATCTTGGCTTCCAAGTGACATTCCCCAAGGGTAACCTGACCTAGACCCCCATAGATTATTTTTGCCTTTTTTGGAACATCATATAAAAAGAATTACACAGTAAGTGTTTCATCTTTTAAAAGTAGTCATCTAGGCTGACACTGCATAAAGCAGGAGTGGGTTAGAGCTTTTGAATTCTCCCTCAGTATGCAGTGTGTGAGTCAGGGCAGGGTTTGAATCTTGACTCACTCCCTGTATAACCTCAGGCAACTTATTTAACCTTGTTGACTCTTGGTTTCCTCATCTATAAATGGAGAGAATAAGCATTCCTCTTTGGAAAGTGCTTGTTAGGATGAGGAATATATGTAACATGCCTCGTGCAGTGCCTGGTACATAGTGGGTGCTTGATAAGTGTTTGTTGAATAAATATAACTTTATATGTATTCTCGGCTATAGTAGGCATTCATTAAATATGTATTCAAATAACCTATCAGCTATATTCCTGCTCCTAATATGGATTTCTCTTGCCTTCTGTGAACTCCCTTTTACCTCCAGGACTTCAGTTCAAGGATAACGGTGTGTGTGGCCAAGCACTTCTGTAAAGATTTCTTGCACTTTCCCGAATTAAACGCTGTAACTCTGGCTTCCTTCCTTTGGATTTTACCAGCCAGAGTCCAATACTGCGGCTGAAGGGGGAGGATCATTTCTGGGAAAATGGGTCAGAAGTGTTCATCTTTTTCACGATGGACACATCACTTTAATACAAGAAACATTTATTGAACAAGTGCAAAGCTCAGTGCTTGTCATTGATGTTTTATTCGCTCCCTTATCCACCCACAAGTCAGACCCAATCTTTGGGGTATCTTACTTTCGTTGCGCCCACTCAGGACGAGAGGCGGTCCCTTTAAGGCCCTGGAAAGGGTCTCGGCGTTGGTTTCCGCGGCGAGGCCACGCCCTATCACGTGTCCACAGTCCCAGCGGGGCGGGGCCGGCGTCTCTTGGCTGCCGTCACTTCCGGTTCTCTGTCAGTCGCGAGCGTGCGAGCAGGAGGCTGTAAGGCTGCCGGAGCGGAGCGTGAGTGTGCGGGACCCCGCCCCCACCCCCTCGAACCCCTCGCTCGGCCGACCCCCACTCTCCTGGCTGGGCCGCGAGTCGCCCGCGGCCCTCCGCCCCTCGTCGGCGACGGCCGCGGGTAATGGCGGCGCCGCCTGACCTTCCCGTTCCCGGCCTCGGCTTCCCCGTTCCCGGCCTCGGCTGCCCCAGACCCCCTTCTGCGTCCCTGACCCCGCGCCCCACGCCCCTCCGCGCCGGAAGCCCGCCCCCGGGAACGGCCCCAGGG